TTTCCTTTCCTTTCCTTTCCTTTCCTTTCCTTTCCTTTCCTTTCCTTCTTCTCTCCTTTCCTTCCTTCCTAAATAAAAACTTTTCCCTATGTTGAAAAGTTTTTATGTATTTAAACTACCTACCATGCCTGCTGTGCTCAGGTGTTTATTACCCCATCCCTACCCTTTTTCTACCTCAAACCTATAAGACCACTCACCGCCCCCTCCCTTTGCCAAAGCAGTATCTATGCTCTTGACGAATAAAAGATTTTCTGAAATCGGAGGTAGCCTGCGTGATGTCTTGGTGGGTATATCCACTGGCCCCATCATTTCTGCTAGGTAGAGAACCTCCTGTTCTGACTTCTGTTTTGATAAATGTCAAACCAAGTTACGAATCCAGTCAGGAAAAGGGGGCAGATAAAGGATTTATTCGTGGGACAAAGAAAGTTCTTAGAATATAATGAACCCACAGAAGGGAACACTGGAAACGAATTAGACCCAGAGAGGACAGTCTGGGATTTATGTGGGTCAGCACTGGGGCTTGTGTGTAGGATAGTATGCACACCAGTATCTGCAGGCAGTAAGTAGTTTGGGGTTATTGGGAAGGGAGCTTGGCACACAAACCACCGGCATCCGAAGGCAGTGCAACTTGGAAGGGGGGGCGGTTTGCACTGGGGAATATGTTCCTGTACGTGAGATTCTGATCTTATAGGTGTGCGTGTAATAGTGCAGGAACTCACACGGAGCGCCACAGCTATGCCGGGGGCCACCACAGGGTCTGCCTAGGGCAGCTCCCAGCACGCATGACAAATCATAGCGATTACTTTATCCGTGAGTAAAGTAAGCTTGTGAGTGCTTATGGTTACAGCGAGACAATTAAGTTTCTTTCCATCAAGAAAGCACTCAACAAATACTTGTGAGAGAGCATCTGGATTTGTGCAAAAGCGGGGGAGTGTGTGTGTGCATGCTAATTAGGGCACTTCGTGCACGACAGCTGGTTTCGTGACCTCTCGTGCGCACCCATGACTGGGTGTGGGGATGAGTAGAAGCGGTGCATTTGCTAAGGCGCGGATGCGTGGAAGGCTAAAGTCGGGCAGGCAAACGCTGGCGTTACGAGTCCCCAAGTAACAGTGTACAGATAACTAGTCTTGTTTGCTCGCCACTGTGTGCTAGGCTCTAGGCTAAGCGCTTTTACGTGTCCTAACAGCTCCCACAGTTGCACGAGGGAACCGGTGGTCTGCGGTGCCTGCCCGGGTCTCCGCGCTCACTGCGAGGGAGGCGCGCAGACGCACGCGCGGGGCTCTGGGCGTTTCCTTGCTCTGGAGTTGGAGGCCCTCGCGTTGGGGCGCGCGCCAAAAAAGGAGACCCCAGGCAGCTCCGGGATCAGGCGTGTCTTAGGCGCCTCGTCCCGGCATCGGGGTGAATATGGGGCCCCATTAGATTTGGCTGTAAACACCGTGGCAGGAGCTGAATGGGCCACGCCAGCCCTTCCGGACGCGAAGGAGTTAATAAAAGGTGTTTTATGGGTGCGAGGAAACGGTGGGGGAGGTGTGAGCGTCTCTTTATGCTGACCCCCCTACTTTTTCCTTTTTTCCCTCTCGCCACCCGCCGCCAGATCAAACGGGCCCGCGACTTAACTAGGGCAACACCTCGCGGTAATGAGCCGCCCGGCCCCCCCCCTGCCCCCCCCCCACGCCCGGCCTCAGTCCCAGGCCCCGAGGCCCCAAGGCCCTCGGGAAGGAGCAAAGAAAGATCGAGGGTTTTTTTTTTTTTCCTCTCCGAGGGCTGAGAAACCCTTTAGAAATCCTGGCACGCATGGGGGAAACAGACTCGGAGAGCAAGTGGATCGAGGTGCCTCCTTACGGAGGGGACCTTATCTGGATTCGAACCCAGGACTTCAGTTGAGTTCACTGCCGGTTCTCTGGCTTTACACAGAGCTCGGCTCCCTCGACTATTTTTAGCTCCGGGAGGTATCCTAGGCACGGTAGGAATGCGCACCCGGGTTCTGCTTTCTTGGAGCCCTGACCAGTAAGTGGAGAGGGTACCGAGGGGTACCGCCCGCAGCAGCCAGAGCCAAGCTTGGCATAACCATGCCCCCTCAGAAAACCCCGTCGGGCCGGGCCTAAGCCGCATTTCAGAAGACAGAGCTGGAGCCTCAAATTCAGTCCCAGCCATGTGGCCCCATGGTCTCAGGGAGAGCTGAGGACGGGGGCTGCCCATTGCGAGGGTCACGGGGATGCCCTCCCACTGTCCCCTGGAACGCCAGAGCCACACTTGCGGCCCTCCCTCGCGGGCTGCAAAAGCCCAGCCCTCAGAGAGGAGCGGGGTTGCTCCAGGTTTCACAAACCAGGGGTTCTCCAGACTCGGGCTCCCCGTCCTCTCTCCCCCTCGCCGGCTCTCTAGCCTCTCACCTTTCTTCAGCGCTCCCTCCATGGAATGGCTCTAGAGCCTGGCGTTCGCTTTCTCATTCTCTCCCAGGGTTCAGCGCGGTTTGTCAGAAACCTACCTCAATCCAGCTGAGGCAGAGGCGGTGTCATTAGTATTTTTGAATTAACATCACCCTCCGCCTTTTAATCTAGGGGGAACATGGAACGGTCACTAATTTAAAAGTAAATTCCAGGAATTGACTGTAAGGGAGTACTCACTGATGTTACAAAGCTTTAACTGCAGGACTATTCTGCTAAAGAGTGAAAAATACAAAAGGCACCTGATGTGTTATAATTACAGAAGTGGTAATTAAATCCGTCAGTACAGTGGGTTGCAACACAGTCACTTGAAAAAGTGTAGCAACTGACATGAGATTGTTCATGATATATTAAGTGCAGGAAAAAAAAAAAAAACCCTCCCAGGTTGCTAAAGGTTGTTTATTGAGACCTGCTTTATGTAAAACTAGCTAATTAAATATCATTCGTGGAGAAAAAGTGGAAGAATATACATCAAAACATTTACACCTCTGCCTCTGAGTTTTGGGAATAAGGATAATTTTGACTTTTCCTTCTGCTTAGCTATATTTTTCTACATTTTTAAACAACAAATAAGTATTTTACAACAAAAAAATTGAGCTGCAATTTCCTTCTAATTTCTCCTGTGACCATTGTAATTTTCATACACTTTATGCAACGCACATTAATTGAGCACCCACCTTGTGCTAGGCACTGTGGGTATAAATATAATGAATGAGAAAGAATTCTAATAATCATCACCAATTAATATACAATAGTAAATATTTGTTGTGAAGTTTTATTATGCCTTCCACACAGTAAATATAATCTTTACTTACATTTATTGATTTATTTTTCTTACATTTAAAACTTATTAATGCATGCAGTAATCCACAACAACTGAAATTTGTAGGGGAAATTATTTAAGCCCTTAGTATGTACTATTTCCAAAGATTGTATGAGGTGAATACTGAGGCAGCAGAAAACTGAAAGGTGAAGGGCTTTGTTCAAAGTCACACAGATGGTAAAAGGTGGATAGGCTTGGATCAAAGGGCATCTCTGGCTGCAGCAGAGACGCAGAGACGCAGAGACAGGGCTTTTCCCCACATCTTAGAGCATGTCCAGGATGTGTGTGTGTGTGTGTGTGTGTGTGTGTGTGTGTTCATAAAAATACAGCCTCCTCAGTTGAATCCTCCTTGGTCCCCAAAGTAAGGTGGAGAAAGAAAGAAGTGGGGTGGAGAAGGAATCAGGGTTCTAACCGCCGCCGCGGCGCCCCCCCCCGGCTCAGAGTGGATCCCATCTATAACATGAGGAAGGCGGCAGGCTCCTGGACCGCTAGGTCCTGTCCTGACTGGAACACTCTGATTCCAGGAATGTATCTTCTGCTGGTGAAAAACTCAGCATGTTATTCTTTGCACCAGCCTCGGATATTTGTATAGCACATTCATCTTTCCTTGGAACTTACACTTCTGTGAGCATACGCTTCTGCCCATCAACTAGAAGGGATCGGCGCAGGGATCGTGTTCCTCACTGCCAGGAGAAAGGAAAGCTCAGAGAGGTGAAATGACCAGCTCAGGGTCACACATCCAGTCAAAGGTTGAGCTAGGATTAGAAGGCCATCTGCAGACTTCAGGCCCGGGGCTCCCTTGGAAAAGGCTCTGGATCCATTCTTTCCATGCAACCAACAGTTAAGCTTTTGGTCTTGCAAAATCCCCATAAAAGAAACGAAACTAAGAAATCAGCCAGTCTCATTTTTAAATGAAAAGTGACTGGGAAGAAAAAATATGCAGGGTCTAAAGTGTCTGAAACCAGTCTCCTGATTTAAACCTAATTTGTTTGAAAAAAAAAAATTTTTTTTTCAGCCGAGAGAGTTTTTACAGCTGAGCTCTCCCAAACCCATAAAAAACAAGGTTTATATGGGAAATGGTGAAAGACTCTTAACTATAATACACAGCGTCTAATGTAAGCAGACATAGACACTATATAAAGCTCCTACAAATGTTATTAAAACAAACAGAAATGCACATTTATCCCCACAGAATGGACAATGGAAGTCATCGGACTTTCGAAGAGTTCCAGAAGTCCTGTTTTCACTGAAGTGTTCAAACCGCCCTGTAACACTGGGACCTCAAAGATCCTCACCCACCATCCGAACACTTCCCTCATTTTACAGGAAGGGGAAACTGAGGCCCACAGAACAGAGGGACTTGCCTAAGGTCATGGAGGCGAGTTGTAGTCTTTTTGCCCTTTGTTTACTTTCGGCTTCTAGCGCAGGATATAGAACAACACAATGACCAAGAGACTCCATAAAAGTGACTGGATATTTCCCAGCTTTGGTTTCCTCACCTACGAAGTGGGAGAGATCATTGCCCTAACTTCCTGGGGTGTGTGAGGACTGAATGAGATAAGACATACAAAGGACCACATTGTCTTCGGTAGATCTTTCTATTATTTTATTTCATCCTCACAATAGCCTGTGAGGCATTGAGGATTTTATTTCAGTTTGTTTTCTTATTTTAGAAA